AAAACCAATGTTATATCAAGACTGGGATAACCACTACTGTTATCTGATTTGAATTACAGGACTCGTGGGTGGAGTGATAGCACATACATCGGCCCCGCAATCATTGATTAATTTATTGCATTTTAATTTATTTACACAACAAAACACAACAATTTCGCAACTGAGCTCTCATTAGCTGTCATTCCGTACATACCTTTATATGTTGTATACCTTTATTCTTGTGGTTATCTCTGAATATTGTATTTGATCTCAATTTATATATTTTATACAAATAGTATTTATTGAGTCAAACGATTCAAAAACAAATATTCACTAATTAAAGAGTTTTAAAGTCCTAAACGACTAAATCATTAACACTATCAATACATCTCTTTCTCACGATTTCGTAACATTGTATCCATGAGTGCTGTGTCTTGTTTTCCGTCCGCGATCTTCAGATCGGCCACAGCTTCCGCGGGACTGAAGCCATACAACACGTTATAATAGGCCGGAAATGTAAAGTGATTTTCGTTTATAAAATGCCTCGTATTCTGGATTTTGCAGTTCCCGAAGAATACGCCCAAAAGTGGACTATTAATGCCTAAAAGTTTATACTCTGCGGCGGAACCGGGTTTGCACTGAAACGTGTGTGTCTTAAATGGCAGATACCATCGCCATGTGCTCACCGTAAACATACTCTTCGTGTGATTGAAATACATTCTCAAGATATACCGTCGCGAGAGATTGATGTGAAACAGGGATACAATCACCACGAGTTCGGGCACGTGTCGGGCCAGGAAACTGGGCTTATAGTAGGGATCGGGCGGAAGACTAGTGTTTTTGGGCATCAGTTTGTATCCAATGCAACAAATGATGGCAACCAATGGGAAGATAATGCCGCCCAATGTTGTCGTCCGATTCACTTCCGCCTTATAGACCAACACATCGGTCCGTCGGTCCACTCTATCGGTCCTCATGTTGTGTTCAACGCCTCTGTCTTTCAGACGAATTATTCGCCAATAAGTGCGAAGACGAGCGAAGTTTATGTCTCTCTTCTGGACGTCCCTCCAGAGTATGGTCTCCGCCACCGATGACACCAATTGTCTTCGCCGGCGGCCATCCGTCCGCACAAACAAACACTGCACTCAATGCGAGGCAAAACTTAATCACATTTTGAATGACAATCGGATTTTAGGAGAGGAATAACAAACCTGTGAATGAAATGGTCGGCAATGGTGTGAATGCAGTGAAAGTGTTGTCACATGGGATGTGATGCCGACTCTGAAGACATTGAAGACATGGTGTGATTTGCAGTGAATTAATAGATTCATAACAAACACAGTAAAGACTGTCTGTGTTTACAATCAGTGATCATGTGATCAATCAATCGGTGCTTTAAATGTTTGCCTTCTTTTGAAGACCAAAAGCGTGTCATCTATTGGTCGACGCGATTGGCTATACGTGTGAACGCATGCGCTCTGCACTCAACTCATACACCGATTGTCTCAACATTTTGTTTTAGTTTTCATTTCAATCCCTCTTTTATTAACACTTTTTTGTTATTGTTTTGGCTTTTAATCTGTTTTTTCATTTCATTTCAATCCGTAAAATAAAATTCATTTTTAATTTCCATTACAAATAGTTTTATAATGTTTTAAGCCATTGAATGACTCGCCTATGAATGCAAAGGTTTGTGTCATTAATTGACTGCAAAATATTTTGTCAACAAATCGTTACTTTTTGCCCAATATTTACAAAACACTGTTTTGAATGCAAAACATGTGATCATTGATTGCGAACTCAATTCACTTCACATTTATTACTAAATCATTGAATTGTGTTTTGAATTGTTATAACAATTATATTGTTTTGTATTCAATAGTATTGTCCGATAGTATTATGCCGTGAGATATGACGTGCGAAACGAGTGGTGAGAGTGAGTAAGTGATCCATCGGTGGAAGCGATGAGCGAAACAAATGCGAGCACTTCTTCCGCTTCTTCCACATCGTCGACGACTGAGCCGTCGATTCAACAGAAGAACAATTTGCAGAGAATAGCGCTGAAGAAGCATCAGCTCAAGACATGGACCCGAAGCAAGAAGTTGGAGAAACTGGCCGTCTATTCCCAGTGCAGGGCTAACGACAACACTTGCAAATGCAACGGTTGGAAGAATCCCAACAACAATCCCGTCCAGTCTTCCGACAGACATCACGACAAACACAACAACAACTCCGTGTCGCAGATGACAGACCCCTGTCGTAGTTGTGGTCATCATTTGAGTCAGTGTTTTGTTACAATATAAACATTACTTTCTATGAATGCCATTAATGCCAATTGGTTGGAACAGGTGCTCACGTGAGTCACTTGGATGCCGTGAAAGAGGAGGAATTGGATCGTCTGTTGGGGATTGTGGTGGACGTGGAGAACCTGTTTATGTGCGTCCATATAGAAGAGGATACGGACACAAAACAAGTGTATTTCTATTTATTCAAACTCCTGAGGAAAGCCATTATGATTATGAGTCAGCCCTCAGTGGAGGGTCCGCTCGGAAATCCTCCCTTCGAGAAGCCTTCCATCAAAACGGTATTCAAAATTGATTCAATAATCTGAACAAATGACAACCCTTTGGCTTTTGTCTGCTATTATGAGTGATTTGATTGAATTCTAATGTTTTATGATGTGATTATAGGGTGTAATAAACTTCGTGTGTTTCAAATTCAGTCACTTATCGGAGAAAGAGTGGCAAACAATGTATGATTTGGCCAAAATGTTTCTCCATTGTCTCAATCACTGGAAGTTAGAGACACCGCAGGCGAGGAAACAGCACTCACCCAACGAAGACGTGTCCGCATATAAGATCAATTACACGCGATGGCTGTGCTATTGTCATGTGCCGGCTTTTTGCGACAGGTATTGCAATCCCTCTAATCCATGAGTTGTATTGAGTTTTTCACGCGTTTTTCTTTTCTCTAATCTGATTGAATAGTTTGACTCATTTTGAAACGTCTTTAATCTTCGGACGAACTCTATTGCGATCTGTGTTTCAAACAATGAGACGACAATTATTGGACAAATTTCGGGCCGAAAAGGACAGAATGCCGGCCGATAAGCGAATACTCGTATTGACTCATTTCCCACGCTTTCTCTCAATGCTCGAGGAAGAGGTCTACGCAAACAACTCTCCCATTTGGGACTCAGACTTCAAACAGAATATGCCGTCGTTTGCCTCCACGGCGGCCGTCGCCGCCGCCGCTAACGCCTCCTCCAAAAGCGCTTCCAACACATCCAACTCATTGACCTCAACCCCCGCCCCAAACAACTCATCAGAACCCCAATCAAAGTCGTTCTTAAACGTGAGCACAGGTACGGGAGCTCTGCTCGCGACGACCCCATCGCTGGCCTCATCGTCCGGTTTCACTACATTTAACTTAAGCCCCGGTTTGACGACAACTTCACCCAAAATGACAAGAAGTGAGAAACGAATTCGTCGTAACTCTGAGGCCAACACTGAAGTCAAAGTCGAAACGACGACTAAAAAGATGAAGATCTCAATCCCTGGTGACATCAGTGATGACATCGTCTCGCGTGCCATCACTGCTATCAACAAAACAAAGGCTGCGGTCGAGGCGTCCACCGCTCTGTTGCCCGAAATCTCGGCCAGAGATGAGTCGGCGCGCAGTGAAGAAAAGAAAGGACTCATAAGCTTTCATATCGTCTCGAATTCATTGAACAAAACTGTGGACAAACAGGACTTGATTTGGTTGATTGGTCTGCAAAATGTGTTTAGCCATCAGTTGCCGCGAATGCCCAAAGAGTACATAACGCGACTCGTCTTCGATCCCAAACACAAGACACTGGCGTTGATTAAGGACTCGAATAAAGTGATTGGAGGCATATCTTTCCGAATGTTCCCCAATCAGGGCTTCTCGGAGATCGTGTTCTGTGCCGTCACTTCCAACGAACAGGTGAAGGGTTACGGCACTCATCTCATGAACCACTTGAAAGACTATCACATCAAACACAATGTCCAGCACTTCCTCACATACGCCGACGAGTTCGCGATCGGATACTTCAAGAAACAGGGATTTACTAAAGAGATAAAACTTCCCAAATCTGAATATTTGGGTTACATTAAGGAATACGAAGGCGCGACTCTCATGGAGTGTCAGCTCAACCCCTCTATCACTTACGTCCAGTTGACGTCTGTTATCCGCAAACAGAAGGAAATCATTAAGAAATTGGTGGACGAGAAGCAGAAGAAGTCACACAAAGTATATCCCGGACTCAGTTGTTTCAAAGACGGCATGAAAGAGATCTCCATCGAAGCCATTCCCGGCATCAAAGAGTTGTCGGGCTTTAAGATCGAGAAACACAAACAGAGAGAAGACCGCAACGACTCGGAGAACAGTCTGTTGTCTGTATTCAAGACAATACTGACACAAGTGAAGAACCACAACAGTTCGTGGCCTTTCCTGCGACCCGTCGAGACATCAGAAGCGCCCGATTATTACGATTACATCAAATACCCGATGGATATCAAGACGATGTCTGAGAGAATCAAAAACAAATACTATGTGAACCGACGTCTCTTTCACGCCGATATGAGCCGTATATTCCAGAACTGCCGCTCCTATAACTCGCCGGACACTGAGTACTACAAATGCGCCAATACTTTGGAGAGATTCTATAACAACAAGATGAAAGAAGCTGGACTTGATAAATGATGAACACTTACCTTCTTGTTTACATTATTACACAATATTATTACTTCTATTATTTATATTCATTTATACAGTATTTATGAATTCAATTATTTTATAATTGATGCAAAAGTAATTTAATAGATATATCTTTACATATTATAAATATATTTAAATGCCTTTATTTTATTAGTTATTGTATTATAGTTTTCATATGTATTTATTAGACATCTCTTTATTGTGTGTTTTCTTTTTGATCTTTTTTGTTAAAAACTGTTTAAAACATAACTTTAAAAACTTGAATTGAATTCAAGATTAAAAACAATTGTTTTGTTTAAATGATTGTTTTGTCTTCTATTAGAGACGACTATAAAGTTTCTGATGAGAACCAAAATCAGACCTAAAGTGTTCACTCAATGTTTGATTAATTTGATTGATTGTACAAATACTACAAAATAATATTAATGTTTGTATTGACAACCGACTCGTCTCACATCCTAATAGGTTTGCGATGAGTTGTAAATACAAAAATTCATATTACTTTTCAAGTTATATATAGTTAGCAAAAAACATAGAATATTCTAATTATTCATAAACTTCTCGTTAAATATCATATTCTTCATTATATCTTAATTTCAATTAAATGCTAATTAATTGGATTTATTTATAACATATTAACTGATTTATATTGAATTATAATTTTGAATAAATAATAAATTTTATAATTTAATTCTATTGAATGGTCTGTTTTTTTAATAATATTTAATTAAGTTTGAAAACCATTTCATAATCAATTAAGGGTTGGCTTCGTATGAGTTCTAATGATTTGATTGCAAACTAATTAAAAGGGAAATCATTTGTTGGCAAATATTACTCTTTAATCTATTATTACTTCAAATAATTTCTATAATTAATACTAAAACGTGTTTACAATTAGATGACTATTAAATCCTATGTTTATTCTATGGTAAGCAATGGTAAGCATTCTATTGGATTAAATGACCACAAATACAGTAAAATACTGATAAATAATACTAATTGTATAATACAGTAGTAATACTAGTTGTGATAACTTAACAACTTACTTGGTTAGTAAGTTAGTCATCTAAACTTTAGATTCTAAAGGTACACGATACTTTTTTTTCTTCGATACATTGTAGTTTTAGAAAGTATCAAAGTTATGGTTGTAATTAGTTGTAAGTTGTATTGCAAGCAAAATATAATTTAATGTTGTGATACTGTTGTGTTGATTGTGACTATTTTTCTATTTTAAACTTTCAAAATTAAAAAAAATATGAAATAAAATCTTATTTTGGAATTAACACACTATATACAACCATAACTTTGATACTTTCTAAAACTACAATGTATCGAAGA